ATTAATATTATAACGTCTTGCAAATCCTCACAGAGACAGCACTGCAGCAGTAATTATGTCACCGAAACATCGTTTGAGAACCATGAAATGTGCAATATATATATATATGTGTAACGTAACTTTACATTTATGAAAGGTAGAAGTAATAGTGTAACATGGTCAATACTGCAATGTGAGAAATAGTGAAACATGAGTATGTATAATATGCTTAATAGTTAGATATAGTACTATTGTAACGTGAGTAATACTGTAATTTTCAAAATAAAGTGTAATATGAGTGTATCAAGATTAAGAGTGTGAAATGTGTAATAATGTCACATATTGCAATATGAGTAATAGTGTACTATAAACAATAGTGTAAAATGTACAATACAATAACATTGGAAATAGTGTAACATAATGATTACTGTAATGAGTAATATATTTATATGAATAATAATCACCACACCATCAGAATTAAATCATAAATAGTTATTTATTTGTTGTTGAAATGAATTTTTACTGCAAATACAGGTTTACATTATCCTGTACGTCATAAAACCTCTAACTCTGATAGTGGTGATATATAGACAGGGGTAATACAGTAACGTGGGCAATAATTTAATATGAACAATGGTGTGATATGAATAAAAGTACAATAGTGTCAAATTAACCATAAGTCCACTGAAATACTGAATACTATTTGTCTTAGTTCAGTGAAAATCTTAATTTGTCTTGTTACATCTCCCATAGTCATATTTTTACTTTCTTGCTGTTGTAGGAAAGACTATGGCACAAGTTTCCCTGAGATGGTTACTCCAGAAAGATACTGTGCCATCTGTAGTTATTGGAGCAAAGACTTTACAACAACTAAATGAAAATATGGGTGCTTCGTCAGGATGGGAACTAAATGATAGTCAGGTAACAACAAAACATCAAAGACAAATGACATGTTTTTCATTTCTCAACATGTCGACTTTCCGATATATAGTATAATTTATTTGAATACTTTGTCATTAGTCATTGCAATTTGCACATTTATTTGACAAAATACAAATGATTTGTCATTGGTCTAGGGTTGTAGGCATCACATGTTGTAGTCATCTTATCCAATTAGACCAATTTCTAATGAGATAACATACATGTATATTCTATGATCAAATGAGAATGTACAATTGATATTACCATATATGGAGTGTGTATGATTTACCAATTAACATACATGCATGTGCTATGATCATGAG